ATAAACTTCTTGGATGAGAAGCAAAACGTCTTCAAGGAAAAGAAGAAAGTCTACTTACCTCTTGAAAAAAAAACCTTTGGAACAACTATGACCGGAATGACTGAGAATCTCCACAGACATTTCATTTGTCTACATAGAGTCCTCTGATAGTAGACTTGCTGCTGGCTCCAGTGGTTCTGCATTGTGTCCAATGTTGAGTAATTTGTAGATACTTTAGATATTATACTGCAGGCTATTAATATCTGTTAACAGTTTGTTTAGTGACCATTTGGAGTTACAGTGGCAATGAAAAAAAGTGACATGACATTTTTCACACTTATGATCATTGCAGCATCCCTATGGTCATGTGATCAAAATTCAGGCAACTGATTCATATTTATGACAGTTACAGTGCTGTGTGTCATGTGATGACCTTTTGTGACCTTCTGACAAAGTCAATGGGGAAGCCAGATTCACTTAACAACCAGGTTACTGTTAACAACTGCAGTGATTCACTTAACAATTGTGGCAAGAAAGGGAATAAAATGGGGCAAAATTTATTTAACAAATGTTTTGCTTAGCAACAAAAATTTTGGGCTTAATTGTGGTCGTAAGTCAAAAACTCCCTGTGCTAAAGTTGCTAACTTAAATTAATAACAATTGGGATTCTTTGACATCTGGATGGATACCCACTGTCCATCCCTATATTAGACAGGGATGGGATGAAGTTGAAATGCTTTTAAAGGAAGTTGCAGTCCTAAAATATCAGACTTATAGCTGAAAGCTGTAGTACTTAAAAAGCGGCTGTCGCCCTTACCAGGTAGATTAGGCAGGAAACAAGGTCAGATAAGCTAATTCTACTTCATTGTAAAGCTATATGAAAATGTAGAAAGGATCATGTACCTCGGTTTTAATTTATATGAAAACTGGGACATGACCAGTGAAGTAAAGATAAGGATAAAGCTCAAACAGCATTCTTCAAAATGAAAAAGTTCTTCTGCAGTCGTGACATAAGCCTAAGACTGATAACCAGACTTTTCAGGCGTTACATCTTTTTTATCTTGCTCTACGGAGCAGAGAGTTGGTCTCTGACAGAAAACCACTTGAAGAAACTAGAAGCATTTGAAATGTGGATTTACAGACAGCTGTTACGTATAAGCTGTGTTGACAAAATCAGAAATGAGGTGAAAAGCCGCCTGGGAAAGCAAAGGGAAATCATCAAAGCCATTAAAAAGTGAAAGTTAGTACATTTTGGAAATGTGATGCGACACCCAGAAAAATACAGTATCCTTCTTTTAATCCTCCAAGAAAAAATTGAAGGCAAATGAGGTCCAGGCAGAAGAAGAACATCATGGCTTCAAAAACTAAGGGACTGGTTTGGACAAACCTCAGCAGCACTTTTTCATGAGGCTATTGAGAAAAATAGGATTGCCAACATGATCCACAACGTCCGATGATGGATATGGCACAAGAAGAAGAAGTAAAGCTACATTAACAGAAACTTCCAAATCTGAAAGTATAATTTTCTCACTGTCACCTTTGTATCCCAATAATTTAGGGAGCATCCCTCCAGAGCCCCTTGCTATACTCCCTCTTATCTGAATGTTTTTTAGCAATATACTTTTCCCTGGTCTCCTTAAGTCATTTCCACATACCATTATATTGACTTAATACCAATTAATATTTGTTTAAGACTAGCAGAAAAGGCTTGGTTTTGGATAACTACATTTTGGTTCTCTCGAAAAGAAACTCAAGAGCAATATTCTGTAAACATATCTATTAATGAAAACTATCTGGAAGTTGCACAATACACTACTAGCTGGGATCATTCATGGAAATATTTCTCATTGTGGTTAAATAGCAACATTGGTTTCTGCTTCATTTCCAGCATAATTCAAACTGTTTACATTTAGATGCACTCCATAGCATGGGATTCTGATGTTTTCTCAATCTACTCACATATTGTAATATTCCTTAGACCATTCAGTCTAAATCTTTTGGAGAACAAATTGTTCTTGTTATCATGTTTCACTTATTCTGGAAAAGATTTTTTTTGTACAACTAGACGTGACATATGACCAAAATTCGGTTTGGAATTATGGTAGCAAATCATTACCATCATATGTCAAGGCATTATGTGATCAAACCCAACATTTTGGCATTTTATGCAATAGTTGTTAACTGAAAACCATGGTTAAGCAAATGGAATGATCATTAAGCAAATGCTGTGAGTTGTTAAGCAAATCCATTTTATCCATATTTTATCAGAAACTAGAAGCAAACACTGGAAACTGGCAAAACATGTCAAAACACCACTTTGGGACACTGCGAATGGTTGTAAAGGTGAGCCAGTTGCCAAGCACTCAAAATGCCATCAGGTGATCCTGGTTTGTGCGTGTGTTTGTGTGTGTGTGTAGCCTTTGTAACATCAAAATTGGATCATAAGTAGCTTTTGGAAGGGCCTATCGTAACATCAAATGGTTGCTAAGCAGCCAGTCATAAGTTGAGGACTACCTGTAATTTTCAGCCTCTCCTCCCCAAGTTACTGGCTGTGATTGTTAGAAGGATTGTATTTTATTGTTTAATGCTATTCTATTGTAATTGTTAACCTTTCTGCAAATTATTAATTAAAGAGTTATATAAAAATGAATGTATTTTTTTTATTGGTATCCCACTTTCATTATTTTTTTTACAAATAGCTCAAGGCAATGTTATCTTCCTACTACTACTTTGCCCACAATAACCCTGTATTTGCTTTGAGCTGAGAGCAAGTGATTTCCCAAAGTCACCCACCTGGCTTTCATTTATGTTCCTTTCTGTACCTTAAATAATAAATATGCATCTAGCAGATAAATCTAGCAAGAAGTGCAAAAAGCAGATTCATTGTGCCTTTTCCTGAATTTATATACCAATACATTTTCCACTGTGCTATCTTTTTTTCAGTAGCATCTTTCTCTGTGCTTGCTCAAGTTTGATACATCAACATCAAGGCTAGAGAATATGTGTTCTGGTTATTTTATTTTGTTTTATGCTACCAGACACTGAGTAGATGAAGTTAAAAATATGTTTTCTCTATTTTTAAAATAACATTTCTTCTTGTTTGAGCCTTTTTCAGACTGTTTGGCTTTTCCTTTTAAGTATATCAGGGGAATACCAGATCACATAGATCCAGTGTAAAAGTAAGAAAGGTGGACTAGAATCAGGAAGACTTATGGAAGTTAATTGAGTTTTCTTGAGATAGTCACTAACCTTCAGCCTTGGGAAGGGAGAGAAGGTATTTATTTATTTATTATTTATTTATTTATTAAGTATATTTATTTGCCGCCCAATCCCAAAGGACTCCGGGCGGCTTACAAATATATGTATGTATACATGTATGCATGTATGCATACACATAACGATAAAAACAATTTAAAAACAACAAACACTCCTCATACATTCATTTTAGTCGGGGCTGGACCTCAACAGTGAGGTCAACAGCCCCAGGCCTGCCGGAACAGCCAAGTTTTTATGGCTATATTAAGGTATAATATATGATGTCTTGAGTTTCTTGGGGGCAAAGTGTTATCTAAAACTACATAAGAGCAACAAGAATAACCATGACAATGTAACATTATGAAAAAGAGTATCTTGCTACTTTATATATGAGTTAGTGGGTTTTGCATTGTTATGATTGAAGATATTTGTTAAAACAGATTCACACCATCAAATTATAGAAGATCATGATAAAACATTTTACATTTTACGTTTAGCCCTTTTGAAAGAACATGGAACCCTGGGTGGGACATACTTCCTGAATTCCAAACGTTTCAATATTTCATAGATTAAAATTATATAGTATACAAATGCCATCAGCCAATTCTTACTTTGATTAAGGGTTTTTTTGATAAAACTAAGTTTCTGGTATTTTCCAAGTTGGATTAATGGATTAAAATTTCTAATCTGTAAAAGTATCCTGGATGAGTCAGGTGGTATGGAAAAATTTTAAAATAGCTAGCAAAACATAGTTAAAATGGGTTAATGTACTTTTTATTTCATTTAATAAGAAATATCTCCATGCTCTAGGAATAAGGAGACTGTACTTGTTACTTCAGAACTGTTTCTTTATCTAGCTGCAAATGTAATGGTTTAATTGATCAAAGTTTGTTATGCTTTTTAAAGTCAGACAAGAGGTGTTTAAAAACTAGCCATTCATATATGTAAACATAAGTTTAGATTTATTAGATTGTGAGGTGCTAGAACAGAATTTTACTTAGTTTCATACTTCTTTTCTGGTACATTC